TTTCTTTTCTTTTCTTTCAAATATATGCCTTATTGCTTTTTTTTTTTTTGGAGAGCAAGCTTTGAATGAAGAAGCTTTCCACCTCTTTGATCAGCTGATAAAATCCTGGAGCCTGATTCTCATTTAGGCTATGTCTACATTAGCAGCACTTTACCAGTATTGCAATACCAGTCTACTCGAGCGGCAAAGCGCTCCTGGAGTGGACGCAGCTGTCCTGGCAAAGCCGTGCTCTGGACCCGCATAGTAAAACCACTCCCCTATGAGCGAAGCAAGCCAAACGGTGTTGTCGTTATAACTTCATCTTGTGCCAGCACAGCTCTGTCGGTCAGAGATCCCACCCTCCACCCCCCTGACTGATACAGCTATACCAGCAGAAGTCTGTAATGTAGACTTGGCCTCTCTCACAGTTTTTGTACTGGTATAACTATGGCAGTTAGGGGTGTGATCTTTTACCTATATACAGTACAATCCTTAGTGTGGGTGCAGTTATGTGGGTAAAATGTTGTCTTATCCCAGTGTAGCTTATTCTCCTTCTGTACAGGCATAGCTATACCAGTTAGGGTGACCAGATGTCCCGATTTTATAGGGACAGTCCCGATTTTGGGGTCTTATTTTTATATAGGCTCCTATTATCCTCCACCCCCTGTCCCGATTTTTCACATTTGCTGTCTGGTCACCCTAATACCAGTGTAAGGCTAGGTCTACACTACCCGCCTGGATCGGCGAGTAGAAATCGACCTCTCGGGGATCGATTTATCGCGTCCCGTCGGGACGCGACAATCGATCCCCGAATCGACGCTCTTACTCCACCAGCGGAGGTGGGAGTAAGCGCCGTCGACAGAAAGCCGCAGAGGTCTATTTTGCCACCGTCCCTACAGCGGGGTAAGTCGGCTGCGATACGTCGAATTCAGCTACGCTATTCACGTAGCTGAATTTGCGTATCTTAAATCGACCCCCCCCTGTAGTGTAGATGTAGCCTTAGAGTCTTACATTGGTAGAGCTGCATCCATACTAGGGAGCTGCACCACTGCAACTCTAGCGGGGTAGTTAAAGTGATGTCTACACACAAAAGCTGTAGCGCTTTGAATTCACTAGGGCGACAAGGGATGACGCTGTTTGGTCTTTCTTACTGGACCTGTTTGCATGAAGGCCCCTTTACCCAAGGGTGACCAGATGTCCCGATTTCATAGGGACAGTCCCGATATTTGGGACTTTTTCTTATATAGGTGCCTATTATCCCTCACCCCCTGTCCCGATTTTTCACACTTTCTCTCTGGTCACCCTATTTACTCCGCTTTGGCAGGATAAAGAAGTGTTGACGTGAGAGTGGGTGTAATTTACGCCCACTTCCGTACAGGCGTGAATGAGTGGAAATGAGAACCGTGTCCCTGGGGTAGTTGTAGCGACACCACTGCAAAGTCAGTGACAAATTCTGCCCTCCTGATGTGATGGGGTTTCACCCCCGCTTCGCACTGGTGTAGATGACCATACCAGGTGCCGAGCGAGCCCACAACGGCTCTGATACTGCTTTCATTCACACTAGGGTAAATCCTCTGTGACTCAAGTCGGTGGAGTTACCCTGGTGCCAGTGAGCTCAGAATCAACCCCCCTGCCTGGGCGGAATAACTGCCCCCACCCAAGAGATGCAGCCGTTTGCTCCCACATGAGTGGAGCTGTGTGAAGTCCCTTCTTTGCTAGGGTATAATAACATCCTCGCCAGCCTTCTCCATGGTGCTA